ATGGAAAAACAGGGGTACGCTTGTGTATGTCAATGAGTTGTGAATCGTTGTGAGTAAAAGTTGTTCCCACATCCGATCCGGACATTGGGGATTGCTTTGTTAGTGAGACAAGTTCCTGGGTCTTCAGCATGTTATTGTGGTAGGGTGGCCAGTTCCTTTACACGCTGCTTTTACTTCCCCAACTCGAAGTCAGGTACCCATTACTGATGGGTGGGCAGGAGAGGGCATCGGTGTGAGTGCATGAATAAAATAGTATTGTGCATGAATGGAATGAGTGCGTTTCTGTGTTGACGTTGAATCTGTATGTATATATTATTGATGTTTTGGTATATATCCAGCCAAAATTTCTTTCGTGGATCAACAAAGTTTACCTTATCTTATTCTTATTCTTGTGTGCCTATGGATATGAGACTGTGGATCATCACATGTTCCACTGCACAGCCCTAAATGACATCAGAGCTACACTTGTCCCTCCGAGTTTCCTGTGATGGCCAAAATTTTCAGTGTCGTAACATGTAGTAATATCTATGGTACCGATGTAGATTAGGTGGGGCATCAAATCAGAGTTTCAATAGCTTAGTGAGTGGTCAGTGTAGTCGTTCAATTGAAGGAATGATGGGTTCTTGAAACAAAAAAGTGAGTAGCTTTTTAACTTAAGGATGACTCTGCATTGAAACTGATTCTCGGCAAAAGTACAAAGACGTAGTATGATAACTGACAGAGTTCTCTACTCTGGCTCTATCTCCTCCAGGCATATCTTCAAGCACTTAATTTCTCTACTTGTCAAAACTAAACAGAAAAAAAGCAGAATAATGTTATAATAAAGCCAGTTTGAGTTTGAAAAGATCCTGCTACATGTATGAGTTGGGAGAAAAGGCAAGGATTTGGGGGGGGGGGGGAGGGGGAGGGGTTGAATGACTTCAATCTATAAAACTGTCCCCTTGGTTTTATGCACCCCGCATAATTTAGCAAAATTTGATCATTTTTGCATAATTTCTGATTATTTTCCTTTATCATTCTTGGTTAAAATTAACAGAATCACATAATTTCACATTTTTTGGCCTCAGTTTGCATAATTTCATTTTTTTTCCCTAAAAATCGCGGGGACAGATAGAATTCATGAGTTGTCGTTTTTTTTAAATTTGTTCTTTTTTTTCCAGATATCATCACATGCTGTCAAAAGTAGATTTCCGTCACACGTACTGAGCGTGCACAGATCAACAAACAGCCGTGGTGTGCGGCAAACAAAGCAGAAGGTGAGACGTTATCGTATCGAAAAGGCTTTTCTCGTTATTAGTCTGTATAAGAGAGAGAGAGAGAGAGAGGGGGGGGGAGAGAGAGAAGGAGAGAGAGAGAGAGAGAGAGAGAGAGACACAGAGAGAGAGAGAGAGAGAGAGAGAGAGAGAGAGAGAGAGAGAGAGACGGAGGAGAGGTCCCATGAGCCCTCGGTGCAGACGACTTTAATGCAGAATCGCACCCACTTCATTGTTCCCCTCTCCTTTGAGAGAATGGAGCCTCGGCAGCTCACGCTACGCACGCACTCACTGGCTCCAGTGTGCTCACCAACTCACTCCCTCAGAATGACAATGTTCTATCTGCCCAGTACGTTCTAGTTTTGAGAAATCTAATACAGGGTGCCCACTAACCAGAGCTGAATCGGGCCGATCGCCTGACTCGGTCGCCTGAAACTGAAAACAAACACCGTTTAACGTGGGCACCCCGTATAACGTCAAAGATTTCGAGTTTCACATCATCGTGATCATGTCAAATTTTTCCGAACGCAATTCTTTGATTATCTTGATAACGACTCAATATAATTCTACGATTTTGATAGAGAAGATAAAAATATTTGATTTTTGATCTCATCGTCTTAGTAACTCAAAACGGCCAACAATGTCAGAAAGAAACTTGTAACTCTGAGGTACCGAACTGCCGTATGAAAACAGCAAAGCAGTATCTACAGGAACGATATCGTCCTATAATAAGAGCCATATCCGCGTATCGTGATTTTTGCGCGAAATTTTTTCCCCAATAGAAAGCGCGTATCATGGGCTTCATTTCAGTATAAGTTTCATTGAGTTCCCCGCCTTAAAATCACTATAAAAAACAAATAACTGTTTCACTTATCATAGCTGTTTGCTTCCAAATTAGCTCATCTTAAGATGTGTGGAATGGATTTCAATATTGTTACAACTTGGATGACGCAACAAGATTTACAACAGAACCGACAGTAAAGCCAAGAATTCCTAAATCGCGTATCATAATTAGGGCCTGATTTTTTTCGGTGTGTTGATCATTCATACAAAGAATCTACCTACCTTAATCAGTTTGTTGTTCCTCCTGAAAAATTCGCTAAAACCTTGATATGTGGAACTGGCTCTTATAGCTGTTCTCGTAGTTTTATGCAAGAAAAACTCTGATATGCAAACAGAGCCCAAAAATGTGAAATTATGCGATTCAGTTAATTTTAACAAAGAATGATAAAAGTAAATAATTAGAAATTATGCCAAAAAGTATCAAATTTTGCTAAATTATGCGGGGTGCATAAAACCACGGGGAGAGCTTATAGGACAATGTCTCGCAGATACGAGTTTCTGGCACTTAGCCCGCCCAATGCCCCCCCCGCACGGGGACCGCCACCTCCCACAGTACAGGTATTTTCCTTTCGGGGAAAACTTCGATCCACATGGCGTGCTGATACAGTTATTCAATTTTCCTTTTGTCTTCCTCGCTCGGCTTTATTTTCTTTTCTTTTCTTTTTTAAAGCCTCCTTTCTTGTCTGTCTTCCATATTATTATTTTCTTTTTTGCTTATTACTTCGATCCTCAGGCCAGTTCTTGGAGTCACGCAGTTCGTGAGAATGGATAGGTTTGCGGGGATCACTTTATTCTCAAAGCCGGGGAGTGCATAATTTGTGGAATTAAATACCTCTTTTTTTATCTTGAATGTAGGACACCATAAGTTTCACAGGTACACGAGATGAAAACATTTCTGATTAAATTATGGGGGGATGAGAAAAAAAATGTTCGTGATAAGGCGGAGTGGTTGGATTTCACGAAATACTAGACTAATAGTAATAGACACATTATCGGAATTTCCCACGGTATTTTCGTTGATCACGCAATTCAGAGTGGGGTGCACATGGCCACATGACACCTCTGTGAAAGTTGAAGATAGGATAGGGAGAATCACCCCCCCCCCCCCAACCCCCCCCCCCTCCTCTTCGGTAATTGGTTGAATAATAATAATAATAATGAATAGCATTTGTATAGCGCATATCCCCGCTCAAAAGTAGGCTCTATGCGCTTTACACTATAATATTATTACCCCAGCAGACCATAGAACACTCCGAAACATTCTCAGCTTCCTGGGAAGCATACAGTGCAAGCAGCTGATTAAGCGCTCAAACACTAACAAACTGACAAGATCCTTCGCTGTCTATAGCCGGGTACCCATTCCCACCTGGGTGAAGTGAGGAAAATTCGTGTAAAGTGCCTTTCCCAAGGACACGACGTCGGGCCCCTGACGGGATTCGAACCCGCGACCTTACGGTTGCGAGTCCAAGAGCCTAACCACTAGGCCACCGACGCCACAAAAAAATATTGCACTCCCCCATCGCCAAAAATGATAATTTCGAAAGTAGGCTGCTTAGACCCTGATAGTCAGCGGTTTCCACAGCCGCGTGAGACACCGCATCAGCTGAGAATATTATAATATACTATCCCCGTCGTTTTATGCGAGAAAAATTCTGACATTATGCAGACTGAGCCCAAAAATGTGAAATTATGTGATTCTCATTCTGTTAATTTTAAAAAAGAATGATAGAGGAAAGTAATAAGAAATTATGCAAAAAATGATCAAATTTCGCTAAATTATGCGGGGTGCATAAAACCACAAGCACAGAATATATTACCTGCAGCCACACGATTAATATCTCCTCCACATTGGGATCGAATTCACGTCTAATTATTACCTGTCCTTTTTTTTTCGTTTCAAAATGTAGATCATTTAAATTTGTTTGTTTTAGTAAATGTTTCACGGCACTTGCAACACAGTAAGGTTATATTATAAGTGCCGAAGATTAGAGGTGTTACAGGAGAGTAACAAACGCAAAAAAGGAGGGGAGAAATGACGATAGATGTTTGAAAGGAAGGAAGAAGCAAACCACACCAGAGCACCCACCAACCACCCAACATTTAAATTTACGAGGCAGATTCCGACCCTGGCTGTCAGGGAAGCCCGGGCTGAGAGTGAGAGAGAGAGAGAGAGAGAGAGAGAGAGAGAGAGAGAGAGAGAGAGAGAGAGAGAGAGGGAGAGAGAGAGACAGAGACAGAGACAGAGAGAGAGAGAGAGAGAGACTGAGAGAGGACACAACAACGTTCCAGCGGAAATATTGAGATACTCGATAGCAACATTCTCCTCTCATAGGGGAATCAAACTCAGGTCTTCTGCGTGCAGAGACGAAGCGCCTCACTTCTACACCATAGACTCAGGAGAAGAGTCAAACCATTGCACCACAGACGACGGTCTAGATGAATAACGTAAACTCTATCCGTACGTCGTGTTTTACTACCGTATCCATACGACGTGGGGAACTCTGTGCCACCACTTAACCCTATCCGTACGTCGTTTTTTAATAATACTATTGCATCAATACGACGTGGGGAACTCTGTGCCACCACTTTCCAGAGCAGAAGTGTACTTACTTGTTAATCTGATCCATACGCTTTGCATAGCAGTCTGTCAAAAATGATTTTTTGAGAAACACTGAAAGTTTCAGAGATCTTCGTACTAGAAGTATTCTAAAAAATACTAAAATGTGAAAAATACAACCCCGGGGTACAAAATGACACCAGGGCGTACGGATAGGGTCAATAAAGATGGATGGGAGAGACAAGAAGATAAGATGTATGCATCATTTTATAGATATGAGTAAATAAATAGTGCTATTCAGTGGCATTCTCCAACTTCATAAAAACAATTTTTTAAAAAGCGGCATGTATGTTCAAATAGAAAGTTTAATCCTTCAGAATCTTCCCAATGATATGTACAGTGTCAATGGCATTTTTGATAATACAGTACATGCACCATGATTAATGGATCATTTCTGTAGAATGAGAGCAAGAAGAACGAACGACGCACACATAAGCAAAAAACATACTTTGTATGTTCTGTCCAAAGCAAAATGCACAATAGATTGAGAGTCAGAGTGAGCATTCAGGAAAGAAGAAGCAAACCACACCAGAGCACCCGCCAACCACCCACTTAAAAAAACTGAATTGTATACCTAATGCAATGAATGACAAGGTTTATTTCTCATGCTTGTGCTAAAGTCTTTTTGAATTAAAATTTGTGTATCTTGTCCTGAGCTCAACACATAACAAGTCAAGAACGGACCGATTGTTCAACCTTTCAAACAAATTTTATAAGATGCTCCAAAACCTGATTCAGAGAAAAAATGCGGTGTAACTCACTGTGACAATTGGTAATATGTAGTTCATAATAATATTAAATATTGGCATTACTATGATCCATCATCAATGTGAAATGTAACAATATATCAATGTAAACCTGAACATTGAGAAAAAAAAAGACAGAAAAAAAAGTTGAAAACCCCTTGCAATGATAGAAAAAATCATTCTAAGCTTTCAAATACTTTATGCAACAGGAAGAAAAATAGTTTGAGAGAAAAATGAAATCATGTTCTAATACATAAAACCAACACAATGAAAACAGTGGGAAGGACAAACACCATGGTTGTGATCTGAACTACAACTACAATGAATGCAAATGACTCCTTTATTTGGTCATATATTTTTCAAATACCAGCAGATAGAAATATAGGTCTAGCATAGGTAGTTGACCAACTTACCCAGGGTAGCCTCATGATCTGACAGAGAGCAAGGTGTTCTTCCCACAAAACGCATGTCGAGCTTGCAATTTGTATGACATTAAACTCCAACATTTATAATTTTGAAAAAACAAAAACAAACCAAAAACAAAAAAACCACAAAAAAAACCCACTTTAACAATTTTCCCCTTAGTTGCCCTGAGATGTTGTCCCTAATTTGACGACTTCAAATCTAGTTCTCAGCCAACACACATATATATAAGAATTCCTGCAAGCGAGGACGATAGTCACAGTTGACCGAATATAATTATATATGTACAATAGAAAACACTCCTCTCTTTTAAAAAAAAACCCTCATAACCAATCCATTACACTGCAATTAATAATAATAATATAAGCATTTACATTGCTTTTAAATGAACATCAATAATTCACTCCCTAGTACTAGTAGTGAGGCAAACAAGAATTTCATGCTCACCAAGTAGAAGACAAGAGATAACATGAGATAACAAGAATAAGTCAAAGTGCTGAAATAATCCTTGACGTTTTGTTTTTTTCTTTTCCTTTTGAGCTCCAAACGACACTGTGTAAATATTAAAGTAAAGACAAGATCAATTTTTCATGTATTTTTTTTTGCCAAACCCCAATCTGGTGGGATATCACAGCTAACTTATAGTTATAGAGGGTAGAAAGCCATCAGAAATAAGAAACCTCTCATGAAGCCTACATTCCACCCAAACATTTTATTGAAAGTCTTTTTTTATATTTATAAACACACTATCTACTAGAGCAAATAATTCATCCTAATCCTAATCTTTTGGGATGCTTCACAAGATTCAGTTTGCAAAATTTTAAAAACCGAGAAGTGGGTAAATTATTGGTCATACTCATACGTCAGTTCAGCTGTAGATGAAAGGAAACTAATGCATAAATAAAGAGAAATTCCTTAAAACAAGGCTAGGATTATCTCTACCTCCCTCACAAACTGTGACCTGCTTACTTCCTGCTGCCCACAAGTCAAGGTTAATTCTTCCGAAACAGGGTGGAGAGGTGAGACTCTTCATAACAGTCACAACACATTTCTTGATTTCAAACGACTTTCTGGCAGGTTACACAATTCCCATATATATTTTTATTTCTCTTTCTGCTTGTTTTTTGGGGTTTTTTTGGTCTTTTCTACAATTCCCTTAAGCAACAAGGTCCTTTTTGCATTTTCCTAATTTCTTTATTGTATAGTTGTACTTTACAGCTGCCTAGTATATCCACCTCATTGTGTCAGGAAAAGATCAGAACAAAAGTGACACTGAGAACGAACAGGAGAAGCAAACCATGCCCGAGGGTCCATCAACCGGCATCCTCGTCAGCTGTTCTGACAGAAACTTCTACTTCAAAGACTAAAGCATTAAGAGACCTTGAAAAGCTCTTTCATGATTCCCTAATGTCTACAAACAGCACAGGGATCTGAGAGGGGCAAATAAAATTTAGAGACACAGCACAAACCGGTACAAACGAGCAAAAATTGATGGACCAAGTTTGAAATGTTTAATCACAGTCAGTCTTATGCACAACAAACTGCCAAAATAATTAAGTAAGAAAGGAAACAGGACATTCCAGTCAATGCTACCCAGATGCAGTGTGAAACAACGGATGGTATGGTGTTCCTCAGTGGTTGAAGAATCTGAAATGAAAGGAAAAACAAAAAGCATAGTGGGATTACCAACAGCACTTGTAACACCACAATTGAATTTTTAAAGGCATAAAAATTATATACCATTTTAATGTCACTCTCCGTTTTTTGTAAGACCTATCTCTGCGTCAAATTTAAAATTACACCATAACTGTTCTATAATTCTACGAGCCAAACCAACAATAAGACTCTATTTCTACCAGCAAATGTGGTTTGGCAGTTACAAACTTCATTTTGGCAAGCAGAAGTGGATAACTCAACTCCTCCATCTGTCTGCTGGGATGCTGTATAACCCACTCAATCTGGGCGGAAGCAGCCGGCCTCTTAAATGATCTAAAAAGTGCCAATGGCAGCAACAACAAAAAACACTTACCGTTTTATAAAATCTTCCTCCCCGTCACTCTAAAAAAAAGAGTAGTGGGGAAAAAAAAAGAACCCAACAAACAAGACTTCTCTGAAAGCATGAGTGGATGGAGGAAGCAGCAGATGCTTGTCTTTTTAGCAGCACTAGAAAATAATACTACTAATAATATTATAATAAAAATAATAATAATAATAATAATAATAATAATAATAAATAGCAAATATATAGCGCATAACCCCGCTCTACAGCCAGCTCTATGCGCTTTACACCAGTATATTATTGTTACCCCAGCAGACCATAGGACACTCAGAAACATTTTCAGCTTCCCGCGACGCATACAGTGCAAGCAGCTGATTAAGCGCTCAAACACTAACAAACTGACAAGACTTAATAATGCCCAAGCTAGTTCCACAAAAACCTCCAGGTCTTTCCAGAAGAGACGAAGTTATTCTAACAAAATTGCGTAGTGAACATAGCTCCCTAACACAATCATAGATACCTCCAGCAAAAAAAAAATAATTAAAAAAAAATA